AAATGGCAAATGCAACGGGAAGCAGTAAGTACCCTTCTTTCATTACCTTGCTTTCCAGGGTGTTTCATTTTTCAAGAAATGATTTTGTGGGTGTATTTTTTAAACTACTTGGAAGAAAGCCACTTCAGACTGTGTTTAGAAGCTAAGTAAATACAGGCGTCTCCAGAACTGAGATGCAGAGGGCATTTTATTGCATGAATCAAGGCAGAATTAGGAACCTCAAGTGACCCATGGGATTGACCACAGACTTCTAAGTGCTAATTTTAATAAACCATGGTTCTTGAATGACATTTTCCACATCAGGCACTGCCTGGGTGGGTGTCAGGGCAAAGTACAAATTATTTGAGTTTAATCCTCAACTGCTACACATTTTGCAGATGTGTATTCACTTTTATTCTTGTTTGTCTTGGGTGCAGTCATATTATGAGATGGATGAGGTTTTGGTTTGCCAAAGGTACTTTTTAGACATATATTGCCTACAAAATAGGTTCTACTCATCAGAGCCCAAAACACTACCACAAAAAAATGTTCTTCTTATGAAGGAAAAATTACCCTCTTCTTTAAGTTCCTTTATGTGGTGACTAATTAAATAGAATGATTAGTTTACAATTATGGTGTGAAATTCAACTTTTTCTAGATAACCTTTTTTATGTCGTGCCTAAGATGATTACAATAAAAAAGGGGGGAAATGGAGGTTCTCGATGTGTTTGTAGACAACATTGGGCCTTGGGCGTCCACAGTCCCCACTTGCTGTGTCATTCTACCCTAGAGGTCTCCCAAGAAGAGACTTGGAGACTGTGAGTCACCTGTAGCTGCTTTTTCTTAAGGACTACGTGTTTGCCAACAGTACATCCTGTATTTATAATGAACGGGATCTGATAAGGCTCTTACAGAAGATTGCTAGCTTTTCTACTCAGGATAGTTTGACTAAAAGTACAGATTACTTCCAGTCACAGAGGCCAGAGTAAGGGAAGTCCTTGTTGTGAAGATACATGTGGACTGGAACTGGAAAACTGTCAGGAATCAGGGGATCTCTCAGAACTGCTACTCTCTGTGTCTCGCCTGAACAACTTAATCTTGCTCGTGGGGTCTCTATTTCCGCACATAGTCTCTCTCCATTCTTCTTCTACCAACTCTGCTTACTCATAATACCTGCTTCCTTATGCCGCAGGCATACACACCAATCACCGTGGCTGTCTCAGACTCACTCTACTAAAACCTTGCTACTACAGTTCCTCTGACTTTTTGGTTTCTTTGGGTTTTCTAGTTCTGATTACCCAGAAGGGAATTTTATTGGCCTAGATTAACATTCTCTTTCTTTTTGTTTTTAAACAAATCTTTATTTGGAAACTCACCACTTAATGCACTCATTTTAAGTACACAACCCAATAATATTTAGTAAATGTGTAGAGTTGTGTGACCATCACTGTACTACAGTTTTAGAACCTTTTCTTCAACACAAAAAACTTCCTTGGGTCTTTCTGCAGTCAATCCCCAGGCCCATCTCCAGGTGTAGACAGCCACTTATCTGCTTTCTGTCCCTATAAAAATATCCTTTCTGGATATTTCACAGAAACGGAATCATATACGTTGTATTTTGAGAAAGACTTCTTTCACTGTATGATGTTTTTCAGATTCATGCTATTACAGAATGTATCAGGATTTTGTTCCTTTAAATTGCTGAATAGTGTTCTATTATATGGATATCCCATGTTTTGGAATATTACAGATGAATTCCAAATGGAAAATCAAATGAGATATTCTATTTCGCCACTTAATGGACATTTGGATTATTTTCAGTGTTTGACCATTATGAATCATGCTATTCTTAACACATTAATCACACCCTGTTTTGATTACTATAGCTTTAGAGTAAATTTTGAAATTGGCTGTGTTCGAGTCTTCCAATCTTGTTGTTCTTTTTCAAAAGTGTTTTGACTATTCAAGGTCCTTTTCATTTCCATATATATTTTAGGATTGATTTATCAATTTCTATGCAAAAAACCTGCTGGTATTCTAATAGGGATTGCACTGACTAATTTATCAATTATTGATCAACTTGGAAGCAACCGCCGTCTTAAAATATCAAGTCTTCCAATCCATAAACATGTAATGTTTGTTTGTTTATTTATTTATTTATTCTTTGCAATGTTAAATATGTATTTGAATTTTAATCGTGAGGTTATGCTGATGCCTTTGGTTTCAATGATAATGCAGTGTTTTTTTTCCTTCCCCCATTCTGTATTTTATCTCCCCTTTTCACATTGAGAACACATCTATATGTTTTTTCAATCTTGTAGTACCAAGTATTTAGATTCGCTATATTCATTTCAATAAAACAAACTCATCAAGTGAATTTCAGGATTTCTCTGCAGTGTTTTCCTTTTCTCTCCCCCTCTTTACCTGTTCTACTGAGGAGGGTATGCAGCTAAGACTATGTTGTTTAAAGTACTTGGATTCTTTTTGTGTGCTTTTTTAACAATTTTATATATGGTTAGGTAAAGTATTTCTGTTTGCATTTAATTTTTTCTATTTCTGTCTTTGTTGATGGTTATATACTTAGAAACAAATATATTTGTTACGAAAATTGACGGTAGGTTATTACAGTATAAAACCTAAGGAAGCAAATGTTCAAAACATTCATCATTGGCTTTAAAAAAATTTTAAACATACAGAAGCAACACACTCACATTCTACTTTTCTTTCCCCCGCGATTCCATCTTTCTTGTGAACCCCTGAAATGGCTTTGTGTGGCTGAAGTCAGAATCAAAATGATGTCATTTTTGCATCTCACTAGCACTTTCCCACCGGCAGTAATGTTTTAAAATCTGATTTCTTTGCTCAAGTATCAGATGTAATTGTACTAATGAAAAATTTTCTTTTTTGATCCTTAGTGGGCTTGTCTGAATTACTAAAACTAACAAGTGGTCTTTTCACATAATACTAAAATAAATGTATTATTTAATTGTGTGTGCATTACATTAAAAATGCATATATTGCCTTTTGCTCCCTGCTCTGCTGTGTCTGGCCTGCTGGCTCACACCTGCCACATCTCCCATATGTGCTCTGATACCAGGCTCCACAATGTGAATGTCCAGAGCATGTGATCAGAATAGGCTCAGCTCTGCTTTGGCTTTGGGGGTCCCTTAGTTCTTTTGCTCCTCTTGCCTGGAAACTGACCCCATGATGTGTCCTTTTTAGAGTCCCAGACACCCACTAGAGCCCCTCCAGCTGATGTGCCAGGTACCACTGACTAGTCTTACTTAGTTCAATTATACTCATATGACTATCTGCCTTAAGACAAAAAACTCAGGGAGGTGGCAGTGTGCAATAAAGAAGAGAACACAGGGCAAGGAATCAGATATGCCCAGTTGTTAATTCTGGTACTCACTAGCCCTACTGATGGGGACAAATCTTTCTTGATAATTCACTCCATTACCTCATTAGATCACTGGCTTATGATAAAAGGATATAACTCAGGGACAGCCAGATGGAAGAGATGCACAGGACAAGGTATGGAGAAAGGATGTGGAGCTTCCATGTCCTCTCCTAGTGCACCACTCTCCTCAAATCTTCACATGTTCACCAAATCAGAAATTTCCATTTATATATTTAATTTCTCACAGAAGTGTTTTATAGTTCAGTGTACAAATCTTGCATTTCTATCGTTAAATTTACTCTTAAATACTTTATTCTTTCTGATGCTATTATGAATGGAATTGTTTCCTTATTTTTTGGATTGCCATTGCTAACATAAAGAAATATGATTTATTTGTGCATATCTTGGATCCTCTGGTATAGAATACTCTTTATTAGTTCTAGTAGCTTTACTGTGAAATCTTTGGGTTTTCTACATAGATAATGATGCAGTCTACTGAGAGAAACACATTTATTTCCTCCTTTCCAATCTGGATGAATGATTCTATCTGTCCCTTTCTATCTATCTATCTATCTATCTATCTATCTACCTATCTACCTATCTATCAGCTTATTGCACTGTCTAGAACCTCTAGTTATAATTTTGAATAGAATTGGGGAGAGTGGAATCTTTGTTTTGTTCCAGATCTTAAGAGTAAAGTATTAAGTCTTTCGCTATTAAGTATGATGTTTGCTGTATATTTTTCACAGATATCCTTTACCAGTTTGAGGAAGTTCCATTTTATTTATATTTAATTGAGTTTTAATTATGAGTGGGTGTTATATTTTGTCAAATACTTTTTCTGCATTTACTGAGTCTACTAATATGGTGTATTACATTACTTGATTTTCATATGTTAAACCAACCTTGCATTCCTGGATAAATTCCATTTGTTCATTCTTTATATCACTTTTCATATGTTGCAGATTTTTTTGTAATATTTTATTAAGGATATTTGTATCTGTGTTCATGATGGATATTGGTCTGTAGCTTTCTTTATTTGTGTTTTCTTTTCATTCTTTTCTATCTTTGGTGTTAGGGTAATACTGGTCTCAGATAATTATCTGTGCGATGTTTCCTCTACATCATAAAAGAGTTTGAGAAGAATTAGTATTACTTCTTTTGTGAATATTTTGATAGAATCCACACTTGATGCCATCCTGCTTGGAGTTTTCTCCATGGGCCCATTTTAAATTTCTAATGCAGAATCTTAAATTGCTTTAGGTCTTTTCAGTCTTCCTATCTTCTTGAGGCAGTTTTAGCAATTTGTTTCTAAGAATTTTTCCATTTCATCAGAGTTGTCTAATTTTTTGGCCAAGCTCACCTTTTTGTGCCAGGTGATATCATAGATTATTGCTCAGGCTTGGACTGATCCTCCTTGGCATCCACTCATTTGTGGCTATGGAGGGATAGAGTATCACTGTACAAAGCAAAGTCGCTAAATGGTTGTCCCATTTGGTAGAGACTAGGAGAGAATATGAGTAAGGCATTGTTCTTTGGTAGCTGTGGGCTGGAAAACATTCTGAGTTTAGTTCTATCCAATATACTAGTTTAACATTTCAGCACAAATTCTTGTACTTACTCTTGGATTGGGGACTTTGTAATGTTGAAGTAGCATTTGGAAGTGGAAGATTTATCACTGTTGTTCTTGTAGTGATGAACGCAGTCTTCGTGACACCTTTGGCTGTAGATCCTAATTATGTAAAAAAGAATGAGTAGCCATCAGGGGTGTAAACAATCACTAGATCATATCATTAATATTAATATAAACATCCAGTTACAACTTGAAGATTAGTTACTTAAAGTCTTCTGATCAAGATATAGAAATCCAGTGTTTTGATGTCTGTATTTTGGTGAGTCAGTTAATTACATTTTTAAAAGTGGAGGGACATTAGACTCTCCTACATGTCTGATATAGGTTATTTCACTTGATCATAACAGTAATTCTTTGAATTAAGTAGTAATTATGATCATAATTTTACGTATGATTCTGAAAAGTTATATAATTTTCCCACAGTCACAGAGAGCCAAACGTTTCTGATGTAAAACTTAGTTGCTCAGCTACCCTAGAAAGGGGGTGGTAAGGCAGCAGTAGTAGTTGAAAGTGGTAGTATGATTCCCATGCTGTCTAGGAGAGAATTTTCAGGTAGGTGGAATAGCAGGGAGGAGAGAGATAACAAGAAGTAAACAGAATAAACTTTTAATTATATTTAGTTCATTTTGGGGGGGCAAAAAGGAAATTCAGCAACAAAGAAAAAATAAGCTGAGTTTTCAAAAATAGCATTGGAATAAGATTACTTTAAATAGTCTATATTTGCACAAATATTATAAAACAAAATGATTGATGACCTTCAGTCTTTTCAAAGTCTAGCATGGGGAACATTGAGTTAGTAAAGAAAAGATAGGCATGCTGGTTAGTGCACGCTTAGTGTTAGCTAGATATGATGTTGGCTGGAGATGCGGGGAAGACAGTTTAATAGACTCCTCCCACAAAGAGGTCTGGAAGCCTGAACTGCTGGTGCCTTCCAGAAGTGCCAATCAGCTTTCATTCTATGGCAATAAGCATCTATAGTGCAATGCAAATTCTTAGTGCACTTGAGAGATTCATGCTGGAGAAGTTTATAGTTTGCAGGAAGACCTCATAGACAGTGGGTAAATATGTCTTCAGGCAAAAAGGCTTTAGAAATTGATATGCTAAAGAAAGTGAATAAATTTGAATAGAGGCTATAGGATTAACACTGCATATGAGAAAGAATGAGTGAAAATGGTCACCAACTTCAGAGGAATCTTGATTAAATTGAGAGGGAAATACTTGAGGAAGAAAAGAAATGTCTTATTATGTAAGGAAAGCAGAAATTGATCTTTGTAATAGTATGGAAGTGGGAAAGTTACAGAAACTCAACACTTGAGGATGAAGGAACGTGGGGATAAAGATCTTGCTTCTCACTGGAACTCCAAGAACATATGCTTTGAAAACATCAGAACAGGAGTTCTTCTTCAGAAATCTTCAGAGAAGAATTCTTCTGAGCTAAAATTGGAAACCATGAAAAAGCTATCCTGATGGGCTGAAGAATTCCCTTGTATAAAGCAGACTCAACAGTCTCGGTGATGGGAAAAAATAGAATGTATAGCTAAGGAAGATGCGAGGAGCTGCCACTTTACGAAAATACAAAGAGAAAAGGAGAATAATGGAGTAGCTGGGGGTACGACCCCCCAAATTTTATTTAGAGAATTGCTTATTATTAATGTGGAATATACTTCACAAATGAGAATAGAATTACAGCCCACACTCAATTCAGGACAGGTTGTCAATGACACATGTCAATTAGGCCATGGAAGGAGACAGGAATGTTTTGAAAGTGATCCAAATATTTAGAAATATTCATGGTGGACTATGAAAATAGAATAGAATGAAAGATGTATTGAATGAAAAGCGAAAAGAATGAAAAATGTGGAGACTAATGCTGCCACAGGCATAAACTTTCAAACTTTACTGATGTACTAAATATTTCAAATCCTAATCTCAGAAGAAAAGAAAATGAGTAACCTACATTTATTAAAATATGAGAATCATAGTCTTATATTAACATCTTCTTGGGAAAATGTTCCCAATTGCACTTCAGGTTCACAGGTAGTAGATTCTGGACTTCTGCCAAGAAGTGATTGACACCTCAGAGCAAAAGGAAACCAATCTCAAAGCTGTTCTTTAAACTTATACGGTTTGCTCTCTTTCAGTTTTTCTGTCTGGCCATTTTCCCCCAGAAAACACTATATATCAGCAGTGGTCTACAGGTGTGACTCACACTGTTAAGTCTAGGTAATAATACATGTATTAGGTTTGACAAACATTATTTTGCTTGAGCAATACTAATTTAAATCACAGCATCAAGATAATAGTGGCTTTACCTTTAGGACTTGTGTTTTTGAAATTTATGTTCTTTTAAGTCTTAGAATTTGATACAGGTGGAATGTATGAAAGACAAAATATGAGGAATTTTTAAACCATATTGAACTTGAAATAAAGAATCAAACACAAGAGATGCTTGAGAAAGTCTCATCGATACCACAGTGTAAATGCAGAGAAGAGACTTTGACTCCAACCAGAGCCCTAAGTTAGAACCATTGGCTAGAACTAAGCAGAATGAGGAATATGGGCTGTTTTATAATTTGTCTTGGTATTATCAATGTGAGATTCATGTTGTATGTTTTGGGAGGTTAAATTTTTGGAAGTAAGCAACAAATGTGAACTTTAATTATATTAGGAATTTAAGGTGTGTTTACAACGGACTGACTTGGAAGGGAGGATTTATGGAGTTAAATTGCGAAGCAAAGGGGATTAAGCAGCTTTATTCCTTTGAAATTACATAATTTGACTTACAGTATTGTTTTGTCCAATATGCGTAACAAAAGCTTCTTGTGTGGTCACTTTGTCTTCAGAAATAGAATATGGGATAAGTGACTTTTTGATGAAATCAACATTTACTAAAACATATGCTATAGAATACTAGTACTTTGGTATGTTACTTTGTTTATGTTAAAAAACACTTTGATAGTCAAATTATTTGGAGCCGCATAGTTTCTGAAAAAACATCAGATGAATGTCTTTGTGTTAGGATTACTGAGAATTGTTACAGATGTTATTGTGCCTTGTAAAACCCTCTGAGGGTAGTATTTTCTAAAACAATTGCCCAAGTAGCTCCGTTTTCAGGCATCATTTTATGAGCTAGTGCTTCATAGAAATTATGTACCCATAGCAATGAGGGTAGTCTGGGGTAAAATTATTTAATATCCTGATTCATTTAAGTGACTTCTGAGGTAATATTAAAGAGCCCATAGAAAGACTGTGAAGGGCCGAAATGTTTATACCAATGATGCTAGGAAGATGTGTCAAAGCAGTGGCAAAGAACGGAAAAGAAGCTGCTTGAGGTTTTGCTCAGATTCTTCTGAACGCCTCCATTGGAGTGAAAAGCAATACCTCAGAATGTAAATAAGTTAAAATGCTAAACCCAAGGGAAAAAGATGTGAAGGAATGTTGGCCAAATACCTGAACAATTCAAAGAGAACGTAAGACGTCGTTCTCTCCAGTACTCACTCCTGAGGAAGAGGAGCTCAGATCATGCAACCAGACTATCCCGGTGTCCCCAGAGATTCTGGAGAAGCACAAAATGGTGCTGGTGAAGGAATGTACGTAAAGTAGGACTATAGCTTTCAGTGGGAGACAAGAAGAGGGGAAAGTTTTATTTCTATATAGATTAAATTTCCTTTTTCTTTTCCATATTATTTAGAGGGTAGATTAAGGTAGGCATTACGGGTCCCTTGGAATTGGGTGTTTAGCAATATCCTACCTCTTGCAAAACCATCAAGTACCGTGTAGTATGACCCCAGGAAAGTAGGCCCCAGCAGACTGCTGAGAGCTCCCTGCTGTTTAGGCCTGGCCTAATAAGCTGTTTAGGTGTCTCCAGATTTATCAATTCTCTAACCCAATTTACCAAGGTAAGCTCATATAGGAACTTGGGACTGATCCTAGGTCATGAATAAACTTATATCTGTACTTAGAGTGGCTTTTTGCATTATATATCCCCCAAATCAAGTGGGTTGAGGTATTGGGTGCCCTCGGAGCAATGTAGTAATGTTTTAATCCCTTCGTTCTTTCTTAGAGACTTCACTAACAAATAGATGTTGACTTTCTATTTCCTTAAGATCTATTTTAACAGTGTTTCTTGGAGCCAGAGCAAATATTGGTAGGAGCTTCTTCTTTATTTTCTCATATCAATTGATCCTATTTACCCATAAATTCTTACATAGGAAAAATCAGCAACAGTGCTTATGGGGACATTAAAAGCTTCTCAAACATTTGAGCTGCCCCTTTGGAAAAACTGTAATTAACCATTACAGATGAGGTTATTCCCAGCTTAGATGGAGGGTGCAAAAGAATTGCTTTGTTTGTTTTCCGGTTGTAGAACACATTCATTACTTATTTTACTATGAATAGAATTTAACTAAACAGAATAATGACTTATTTCAGTAAAATTTAACTGTACTACTAAAGTCCTAAGGGTCCAGTAGGGAAGCCTCACAGGCTTGGTGGTAAGAGAGAGAAATGGCTGGCAGTCCACCCTGCACATACCACCACACTGCTTCAAACTGGGCGGTTCAACTTCTGTTTGTCTGATATATTCACATTTTGGACTTTTGCAAAAGATTTTATGAGAAACGTTTCTGCTAATTACAAACAATTTTAGACAACAACTAATTGCATTACTTATGAGGGTCCTAAAATCAGACATTGTCTGACCACACTGAAAGTAAGATGAACAACACAGTAGGCAGAAATAACAAGATCTTGTGTTATTGTGAAATTCATGTGCTAATAATGTTTCTATACTATGCTCAAGAATATCACCTTTCACTTGGACTTATTTACTCTTTTTAAAACACAATGCTAACAAGTTGGTTGTGTGTGTTTATGTATGTGTGTATGTGTTTTCCACTTAAAGGAGCAACCTAAAAGAAATAACCATTCATAGCAGGCTGGCAATCTCACCCAAAATATAGCCTAAAAGCAGGGAAAGAACCAGAACATGAACCAAAAAGGGAAAAGAAAGGCAAAAAGTTACAGAGTTCTGTGACTATTTTGTGTAGGAAAGAAAAGTGCTATATAAGCACTGTTAAAACCTGAGGGGCTCACTATTA